AAGGAGATGTGAAATAATTTTAAAAAAAAAATGTATTGACATTTATACCAAGCCTCAAATTTCAATTCATACTTGTTTAAGAAAATAGTGTTAGAATCTTACAAAGAGATTTCATAACTGGCATTTAAGTACTGAAGTCATACTACAGAACTTTCAGGCTGTATCCTGAAATGTTGAGAAATGTGACGTATGTTGCTGCTACTTTGAAGTAACTGATTAGCTTTGCAACTCAACTTGGCAAAAGAACGAGATACTAACAATACTAGACTTTCACAAACCTTTAAAGGTCACTGGTTACATCCAGTTTTTTGCTGCACCAATATCGGGATTAAAACCATCCAGAGGTGGAAGCAGTAACATCTGTACAGGACAGAAAAAATTAGCATTCTGTTTCCATATATTTTATCAAATTTGATCAGATGATTATCATCCTACATTTAAAGAACTGATCAAAAGCTAAAAATTATTAGTTATAAAATTACATTTGAGACATTTGCATCTGTCTTCCATTCAGTTCAACTTTTGGAATCTTAATGTTTTTGGTATACTGTAGTCATCATTGAGACGCTTATACTAAAGGCTTTCATGAACTGGTATTTTATTTTGGCCTATTCACTTTGTTTTATATCTTGGTTGAACAGGCATTGGTGATATCAAATTAGTTTGGACTAGGAAAAACACTAAGAGAAAAGGATGTTTAAACCCCACTTTTATTGATTTGTTGGCCCCCCAACAAAAGGTATCAAATAACTATCTCAGCTCTACCAATCCGTGTGTATATATATATATATATATATTATTCTGCAGATGTGTTTGAGTGTTTAAGTGTCATGCAGTCCTGGCAAAAACTCTCGTCATTCCTGTCATTTGTTCCACTTATGCAGTTTTATTGGAGAAGATTCATTATTCGGTCAAAAGGAAGAAAGAAATTAAAAACACAGCCTGCATAAATTTTGCAGTTGACTGCAACTTTTATTCATTTTTTGCAAATACACTAGAAATGTTTACAAAAGCACTGTAGAAACATCTGTGCAGTGTAAATTATCAAAACTAAAAATGGATATTACTTTGAAATAATTTTGCACCTAACATGACAAGGGGGGATTGTCATTTTCAGCAGCAAAACAAATTAGTATCTCACAGGAAATGTCTGTTAGCATGTTGAAATGGCCAGACGCATCAGTTATATACCAAAGGGCAAATAGAAAAGAAAAAGAAAAGAATTATATTAACAAAAGGGATGGTATGGCACTACTGCTCATCCCTGAAGGAGGGCTTCATTCATCTAGATGTGAAACACAGCAATCCGCTTTACTCAGTCAAGATAATCAGCCTTCCAGCAAATGACTCCAGTTGGACAGAAATGGTGCTCTGCTTCACAAACACAGGTTCTCATACTTCAACACAACCAGCCAACAGAAAAAATAAAATAAATCAAATTACTCATCAACACGCTCGTGGAATCTTTACAGCACTGTTCCCATAGTCACAAACTGGTCCACTTTGTTTTTTTTTTTTACAATTTTCTGTATTCTTAGTGCGATTAGAAAAAAAAAATCAAAACAGGAAAAAACTGAAACAATTAAGAACAAATTGAGCTTGTAGTCAAGCTGAATATCACAAAAAGAAATTGACTAAATCGCACTACAGCAAGGAAAATTACTCCTACACCAGTGGAACTAAGGAAATGTACAGATATTTTTGAAAAATACAACTTAAATATTATGTGGCCCCTTACAGACATCCACAGTTTTTTTTCAGTTTTTTTTTTTTTTACACAACTCTGTATTGCTTTGTCTTACGTAATACTGAGATTCTCAGTGCTCAGAGAGCATCGATTCATTGTTTGCTTCGCACAGGGTGGAAATAAAGCAATACCAGTCATATTTCTCTTTTTGCCTTGATGTAAAAAGGCACATGAGCACATGCATTCACACTGTTGCAAACACTTCACATGAGAGGTGGCACAATTTCTTGTATCTTTTTCGTTTTTTCCCTTTCCCTCAAAGGTAGGTGGTGGTTCTGTGGCACAGCTGCTATCACGGAGAGTAAACACAGCGTCCAGACGGATCTATGTGGGTTATCTTTGGTCGAGCGGGGGTGGGCCGGTGGGCCGGGGGGGGGCCTCGGCTTAAAGGTCAGCGTAGTGGAGTGGAGGGGAACGGCGGCTCAGGTGTGCGTGTTCGAGCGGGATCACATTCACGCAGCCCTCTGAATTAAGGTCTTTCTGGTCGAAGTCGAGATACTCAACGAGGTTAACTACTATGACCTGTGAGTTTGCACAAGGTGGAGGTCACGTGCGTGGAGGAGGAATAGAAAAGGCCTTCTGTGAGTTGATTCCGCTTTTACGAAGAGTTAAAAAAAAAAAAAGAAGTTGGATCTATTGACTTTGTGACTGAGTAAAGATCTTAAATCACTATTGGGCTAGAGCAAACAGAAGGTCAGCTCAGCACAGAGACGGGAAACAAGAGAAACTGAAAAACATTTAAATGCTTAGCATTAACAATATAGAAAAAAAAAAACTATAGAGCAACTATTTTGTGTGGCATTATATCTTAATGCATCAATCTTGAGGTTGAAAGAAAAAATCAAACTCAAAAAGAGCAACACTGTCACGCCAGAGCTTAACAAGTGTTTTAAAGCCATTTGGAAATGGCCCCGCTCGCCTTTTTCTCCCCGTTTCCAGGTGTGTGCTGAGCCTGAACCTGCTCTCTTGCTGTAGCTGGACAGAAGCGGTCTCCACCGCTCCGCCACAAAGCAAACGACTACTTCAAAAGGACTCTCCACCAGTGTGTTACTCAACCCAGACTGACTTCAAATACCAGTTCTAGATATGCACATGTGACATGACCCTTTTGAGTCAAGTCACTTTTCCCCTGTTTGCTAACCAGGAATAAAAAATAAAAAAATCAAATAAAAAATAAAAAATCAACAAAACAAACTAATATACATCTAATATGGTAAGATCGCCTACTAATAAACGATTAAGTGGTTTTATCTATGACGTTTTTACATATGTGTCATGTCTCTAGTGATACGTGTAACTGCTAATTCCAATAAATGGCAGCAAGCTTTGGGCTTTGTATCTTGTGCTCAGGTGTTAAAAAGGTTGGCAGCACAAAACGCCTTCAAGATTTAAGACTCCGATGAAAGCCCACTGTGGACCAACCTGAAACCGAACGACAGCACATCAAGGTGGACACCCCACATACAAATCCATTGGTTATGGCATTTTCAGCAGCAATAACAAATACAAAAAGTATATCAAAAGAAGACACTCCATGTGCTGGAAAGCAGGTAACACAGAGAGGGGGGGGGGGGTCTGTGGCCCATTCATGGCAACAAAAACAACACCAATCGGGACGAACAGTTGAAATGCGTTGTAGGTTTTGGACCACTTCCACTGAAATAAAAAAAAAGGACGTCCACGATCGACACCTGACAAAGACAAAAAAGCAAAAATAAAAAACACACAGGGTACAGTTTCCAGGCAAAGTGCAGGAATTTTTCTTTCCAGTTTTAGACAGTATTATGGCCTCAGATTCACTGGCCACCGGCGACACGGGACCGGACGAATGCGGTGGACAGAGAAATTCGAACGAGAGACAAAAAAAAAAAAAAAAAACGGCGATTCAAGTGCTGCGTGTGGAGTCTGCCCGAACGCCTGCAGCTCCGTGGCAAACTGAGTGACTGCACAGCGGCGAGCGGAGCACCGCCCCCCCGCTCTGAACGGTCACGGCACTTGACAGTGTCTTTGACAGATCAGCTGTAATACAACAGGGCCAAAAAAAGAGCCCGTTTTTTTCTTTTTCTTTTTTTGTTGTGTGTGTTAGTGTGTGTTTGTGTGTGTAAGGACTGGTCTCAATCAATCCAAATTGTGCTTTCTCTAATAGGCCATGGCGTTCGCTGACACCGAAGCAGAGCTGGCGCCCGTCAGCACGCCTAGGACTGCCCAATGGATTTGGTCAGAGGTATAACTACAGTTCCCCTTTACATTATGTACAATACAAAAAAAAATTCCAGCTTATTTGAACACTGAACATAAAGAACAAGCTGAACCACTGTAAGGCAGAAAGCAGGCTTAAGTCTCCCTTATAAGTTCTGTGGGTGTTTGCTTTTCTTCTTCCTTTTTTTGTTGTTAATGTGTGACAAAGCTTTTTTTTTTTTTTTTTACAATTTTCACAGCTAACTAGCCATCGCCTCTACCAGGGAGGACTTTGAAATGTAGCTGAGGTCTCAGAATATTTCCGTTTGAAAACTAGTGTTTGGGAAAAGTTGAAACAAGAGAAGTCAAGGTGGGAACGAGGAAGGAAGGGTCAACATTTCTGAGCGTTTGTTGTGGAACACTACACTGTGCCTGCATCAGGAAACCCGGGTGTCCTTGAAAAGCAGGACGCCGGGCCTTGGGTGTGGGTGCATACAAAGTCTCACTAACTCTTACTGAAAGTGTGTCGAGTGTGCACTAATCGGTGTTAAGAAAAAAAGGCAAAACAATACGGTTTGGCTCAGTCCGTTTCCTTTTTTTTTGTCCGGCTTACTTACAAAATCGAAGTTCAGTTTTGCTCGCAAAACCGTTGGGGGGTTTTTTTTTAGTGCAGGAGCTCGGCTTTTGTCCAAAAGATTCAGTCTACGGGGACTTTTGAATCTGAAGATCCAAGGTTTTCTCCTTAAAAACAACACTGATGGCCAGAGGAAGGTGAGAGTACGACTGTAACAGCGGTGACATCATCTACACTACCGCGCTCCCTCAGAGGAATTCTGGGAAAGATTCGCCCTGGCGGAGACCACACTGAGTCCCTTCATGTTTGAGGACAGAAACGGGGCTTTGGGGGGTTGTTTGTGTTGCAGTACTGCAGGCAGTGAGGGCCATGCTCAGCAGGTAGAGTGGAGGGGGGGTAGACAGACGGATAGAAGAGGGCTCAGTGAGAGGAGCAATGTCTTTGTTGACTAAACAATCACTGGGGTTTTGTGTCCCATTGCTTTCCCCGTCCCCTCCCCTCCCCGCCCGTGGTAACGTAACACCCCCGCGCTGCTCCCTCCGTCTCCTTCCTGAGCGCCACACAAAAGGAGCGGAACCCTTGATCAACACTTCTGTGCCTCCACCGGAGACATGGCGATGTAGGAGCCGTTCCTCATCGGCTGGTTGGCCGGCGTTTCTGACGACTCCTCGGGTTTGTCGCTGACCTGAGTGTAGGCCGTGTCGTCTTTTGCCGTCTGAGGGAGGAGAGCCGGCGAGAGAGAAAAAATGTCAGCTCACACCACAGAAATGGAGAGACGCCAAAATATTTTTCTACAGTCATGGCGAACATTAAAATGGGAGAAAATGTTTTGACTGAAACCTCACTGTGAACAACAACAATCTAAATATACACCAACTACCACCACAACAAACGGGTCAAACGGCACAAATAAACATTACGTTTTTAAAAAATGCAAATTATAACACTTTCAGGCAAGAACGTAAACAAATTATGTAGTGTAGCATAGACAATTAAAATAATAATCAGATGATGACAAATTAAAAAGAATAGAAAACAAGGCAAAACTGAAGACTTACAGTAAAAGAATGAAAAGCCTCAGTAAAATCAATACGTTTTACTTCATTCTAAAAACAGAAAGGAAAAAAGGGGGGTTACAGAAAATTAAAATTAGCACATGGTTAATACAACACTTCACATTGCAATTAAGCAGTCTTAAACATTTTCTTATTCCCAAGATAAACGCCTAGTACTTTTGGGAGTTTCTTACAGAGGACAACTCTATAGATTCCTTAATCCTAGCCTGGCTCTGTCCAAGGACAATACAATAAAACTACCATAAACATTTTTTTAGGTTTTTAAAAAAACAGTTTTTCCATCTCTTTTGACTGATCTGCAGTAAAAGTAAATAAGTATAATCTTTTTTTTTTTTTTTTTAAACCTTGGAAAGAACCAGGCTACATACTTTCTACTTTCCAGTCATCTAACTGAGTTACAGTAATGGTCTGTGATAAAATAAGGGCTAATCTGGAATATTTCCCAACACGTTACCCCACTTCTTTACCATGTGGCCTCTCTGCAGTGAATAACCTGAACTACAGTGATCTGAGGGGGGAGGCCACATGTCCTGCACTATTTAAGATAAGAGGGGAACATTGGGCTGTGCGTTTTGGGTTACTCTGGTTCGTTAACCTGTGGCTAAACTAGCTCGCAGCTATGCTGACTAAAGGGAAACCAGGAATGTACTCCTTCCCGAATTGGCCCCGCATGCATCAACTGTTAGAATACACTGAGGAAGAAGTTAAAAAGTTTTACAAAGCACCGCTTGATCCAGAACTGTGGGAAACTTCATGCCGACTTTAAGCATCGACCATGCAATGTGTTAGTTAACATGCGCCTGGTTTTGGGGTTAAACTTAAAGCAGCTCAGGGCGGTTGGTGCAGGAAACTGTTAAACATGCAAAAACCCGGTCAAAACATTACAAATATAGCATTTACTGTTACGTGGAACTACCGTCTACTGTGGGCCTTGGTTTGGTTTACACTGTGAGCTAGTGTCAGTAAACAGCACACACCTGAGTAACTGTGGGGATTATCGCTACAGTTCAGCGCACGAGCGCCGCTCCTTACCTTCTTCTGGCGGTTTCGGCAGAACAAGACGACAAGCACCATCAGCAGAATGATGCCCATGCCCACGATGAGCAAGGGGAAATTTGACACGGCTGTCACAATTAGCAGCAGTGTTCTCATCTGAGCTGCCGAGTCATCGTCAATGGTCGCCGTCTGGGGTTGAGAGAGAAGAGCTCATTGATTTCCCGGTTTATTCACCTTTACAGGAACAGCTTTGGTCTGTGCCGAGAGGAACACCCACCTCATTGACGAACATGATGGGGAAAATGGTCTCGTTGATGTACTTGGTTTTTCTGCGGGGCGGAAAAGAGACGCAGAGTTCAGGGAGAACATCTGGCTCAACACATGGGCAACAATGTGGACAGAGTGAGGCAACAGCAAAGTATGGGGGAGATCAAAGTTTGACTTACGGGAAACCTTGGACCCTCTTCAGAATGATATTGAGCTGTGCTCTCTTGCAGGCACGAATGGGGACCCCTGTTGTCTGGAGGAACATAAAAATAGGCGTCTTTCCTGCTCATCGTTATCACACAAGGCAAAAAATTGACTTTTTTTTGCTCTTTTTTTTCCCCATCTGTCTTTTTCCCCTTGTACCAATTTAATAAGTACTCTCTGAAATGTAACCTTATCAAAAACACATGCATCAGAACCACTCATTCAAACAAAAACAAGCTTAATCATAAACTCCAAATCATAAAAACAACTGAGTTCACATAGCTATGACCAACAGGTCAAAGACCAACGGTTCTTAATCTGAGGGCATATCAAGAGAGTATTGTACCGGCTGCAAGTCCAGGTAGGTCTCGTGCTCTTCCTTGTTGGGGCTGAGCCCATCGACAGCATTTATGTACATTGGGTCTGCTTGATAAAAGTGGGGGAAGGAAACCACGATGGGAGCACCTAAAGGAAACAAAATCAGACAAATACACATTTGAGAAGGCTGAATAATAAGGGTCAGAAAACATTTTACAAATACAAAATAAGATGAAAAATTATCCTTTTTTTGCCATTAGCTAATAGGGCCTCAGTAGCTAACTACGAAATAGTTTTTCCTTCAGACTTAAGCATGAACTTGCCATGTTAAAGACAGGAAACTGATAATAAAATTAGCTTAGTTTAACATAGCAGCTGCCTTCTGTACATGGTGAAGTAACATTTAAATTTCAAATGTAATGTTTGTGGTCTTTTTTTTTTTAAACCACAGTGTGCATGAGATCTGGATGTTGATTGGCTGTCAGAAGCATCACAAGAGACTCCCACCAATCAGATGCTTCCACCTAATATGAATCTGAGGAAGTGAGGTTGACTGAAACTCGGGTCAAATCAAAGCGAGGCAAACCGCAAGTTTGGAAACCTTTTCTCTAGCGAAAACAGCTTGAAAAAAAAAGAAAAAAAGAAAAAGACCAAAAGCGATATGCATTTTCAAACAAAGTTCAGGGTTACAGTAGCATATCTCTGGTTGATACTACATCGTCTTCATGTGTGAGGCAGAGTGGAGATTTCTCTTATCAGAGCTATCCCACTCCACTCAATGACCGCCATAAAACACGTCAATAATCTGCACACACTCAGTACAGTTAATCATTGAGCTATTACTGAGTGAAAATCTGATGTCCTCAAACAGAGGGAATGCCAGATACCGGCCCTGGGACGCAGAGGAACCGTTTCAGGGGTCTAAACGCGGGGGGAACTGTGTCATGAAGTTGGTTCGTGATCAAAGGAGGGTGATGGGTAACTGGGTCAGGCTCTGGGGGAAAAAAACTGGACGGAGTGAAAGGGGCGGAGCTTGTACCTTCGCGACAAACGCTGACTTTGAGCACCCCCGTGCCGAGGCAGTCTCCGGCTGGCACACAGAAGCCCGCGTTGGTGGGGTTGTCTTTGGGGCTCATGAGGACGTCACTGGGGGGGGCGAAGCGGTAGGCTTGGATCCCTTTCACCTCCACGTCCTCCACGTAAGCTAGGTGAATAGAGCTGAGGGAGGACACAAAGAGGCCATTCAATTTAGAAACATCCCCCTGTAACGAACAAAATGGCTGCCTTGAATGGAAATCTATAAAGCAATCAACGGTAACAATTTAATCATCTGACAGAGATGATTTGTTTACTGCACAGTAACTTTCAAAACTCCCTACTAAGCACGTGACAAAGTCTTAGTGTGTTTTTCTTTTTCTGCAATCTACTGACACTCCCAATCAGTAGATTTGTGATAACACCGAATTACTCATCGGTCATTTCCTACCATAAACTTAACTGGACGTCCTGGTGTTCGCCCTGCCAGGATGCTTTGACTGTAAACAAAGTTTTGGGCACTCAAGCACATGTGCATACCGACAGAGATCCGCAGCGAAGATGTAGAGCAGTTCGTTCCTGTTTATCAGCGGGTGGAAGACGGCACCGTCTGTTCCGTTGATCATGTTGCTCTGATTGGACGACCACCAAGACATTTGCCTATTAATCAAGATAGACTGTTAGTAGAAGTAGAAGCGGGGAGTAGCTTCTAATCAATTCCAAGTTTAGGAGACGGGAGAAATGAAACGTTTAGTTAAATTAGTCACAGATAACCGTGTTATGCAAGTACTGTAACTTGAATCCTTCTCAGGACTGGATTCCAACTACGCATACTCAAATTCAAAGTTCATGTTGAGCCATTTTGGGAATCCAAACAATCATTTTGCAAGTCTGCTCTACCTAAAACCAGAGACCAAAGGACTCTGGACTTATAGATGTAGGTTGTGCAAACATGATGGGAAGTGGAATCAGGAAAGTGATAAAAAAAAGAAAAAGAAAAAAAGAAGAGGGGGCTAGAACAGTTCTTTCAACGGGAATTCAGGATTTTCTGACGTAAGTCTTTACCTCAGACCATTCCATGTGTCGATTTTGCCGTAATCCAAGTAGTTCTGCTCGCCCGTGTGGAAGACAAACTCTCCCTCGTGTGTGCCATTTTTCTGTGAATGAAAAAACAAAGGGAAGCACAGAGTTCAGACAGAGATGCAGCAACAAACTACGCTCCAAGAAGCAGCGCGAACCTCGCCGGTCAGGAGCAGCGTTTGTGTCTGTTGCCTGGGAACCGTGTCGGAGAACAACTACCTTGTTTGTTCCCACATGTTACGTAGTGGCCGCAGAGGGAATGTCATCATCAAGAGTCCGCAAGAGAGACATTTTCCCCTTTTGAGTTCCTTACTCTTTATCTAAACTACTCTGCCATTTCATTCAAGCATTTTCTTGAAACTTTTTTTTTACTTTAAATTGTCGTATCGAATATCCTCACTGTACAAATTTCTTGGTCAAGTTAGAAGAAATGTTTTACCTGAATTATACAGAAACAAGTTGAACTATTGCTCAGTTGATCAGCGGATCATAAGACAAACTAACCGATCATACGTGTTCTAATACGTCTTTGGCACCACTGCCTGCGACAGCTGCTGCTGTTGCTCTATAAACAGGAAGTAAAAATATCTTCCATCAGCATTGGGCCAGTCTCATTTCCTTAAAGTTAAATAACCTCAAACCCCTTTGTCATCTTTTTTAACCTCTTACACCCAAAGGACAGCGTTTCAATGGTTTTGAACACAGGCAAAAAGAGAACTTAAAAAGCGACATTAAAGCTCTCTGCAACCACACTCACCTTCCACATCAGCCCGAACATTTCATCCACGTCTGGCTTCATGGAGTGGACTTTGGTGAGCAGGGGGTCTTTGAAGCCCCACAGGACTTCGTGGACTGTGCGGTTCATGAACAGTTCAACTCCCAGGCTGTTGATGTACATGGAAACAACAGTTCGCAGGAAAAAGGAATAGGAGCTCAGTTCGTTCATTATCGCCTAGGGACGACACAAAGAGAGGAACAGGGGGAAAGTTAAAGATGGGAAACAGGAAGCTGCCACCAGAAAACGCACAGCTTGTCTTAGAGATACTTGACGTCTTTCAAGGGAAAAAGAAAAACTTTCAATAATGCTGCATCCAAGTTCCTGTCATTTGTTTGCCTTGGCGTAATGTGTACTATGTTTATATGTTTTAAGACATGACACTGTCACAACAGCACAAATGGGACAATGGTTTGGGGGTGTGGATGTGGAATAAGTGTGAGGACATAAAAACACAATGGTCAGCTAGAAGGGGGGGGGGGGTCATGCTGCCTCACCACAAATGGGATGTTGACGGTGCAGACGATGTCGACCTCAGGGTTACCAGCAGACTTCTCAGGCACAAAGACGAACGTCTTGGGGTTCAGGGCGTAAAGCTTGGTTCCGTTTTCCAAGAATGTAACATTTTCTCGTGGCCTGTATTCCCTGGTGTGGAGAAGGAAGTGACCGAGTTAGTCCAGATGTTTTTCCCAGATGGTTTTCCTTTAAACTACGCTTTGATAAGCATGGCAAAACATCATAAAACATTCTATCAGATCCCTTCATATCAGGACATATTACCTGTACGTATAAGGGCCGATCTGTTTAACAGATGCTTTCCCGCCTGCTAAGAACACCTCTGGGTTGGTCACATTGAAGAAGTAGTACTCCATGTAAACAGGTGGAGGTGGATTTTTCCAGGACTCAAACACTTGGCTCTTCTCCGTCAACGTGATTTCCTGCCAACCAGAAAAGATAACACTCATGAGGATTAAAAATGACAGTCCGAAAGAGCTATTCCTTCTAATGTCTTGTGTACATTTTTGGGACAACTTTAAAGCCGTTGGCGATTCTGAAAAAGTGCCATCCGAGCGCACACATGGCACTTTTCCGAGAGCAGCTGGTGGCAGGCCAAGGCCTCAGAGTCCCAGAAGGATGCAGAGAAAAGCCCTTCAGAGCTGAGAGACCTCAAGACAGGCGGCAAATGTAAGCAAAAAACGCAACAACAAGCTGCACACATTCCCTGCCTATAGCAAGCCTGGGCAAGAGCTCCTGGTCGGCCCACGCAGCTCGCCAACACGATGAAACGATAAAGTAAAAATTCACATCGGGAATATTCAATATGTACCTGCAGAAGGAGATTCACATTAACAACATGGAAACCAAAGTAGGTGCACAACGTAGCGAACAAGTTTCGCTCTGAGGTTTTCCAGATGTTTTGGCCGTGTTCATGGGAGAAAAACATGCCTGAAAATTAGAGCCAGTCATGAGTGACCCTGTTTGACGTAGGCCTGGCGGCCACATGTCTCAGCATGAGAAATGAAACGTGCAACTTGAAGCTCTTGGGAAACAGTAGAGTGTACAGTGGAGTATTGACTAAAGGCGTTTGCTTACTAGAAAAGGTAGCAAGCTTTTTCCACTCTTAGGGGTATTTTTAAAATGAGAGAGGAAGAGGGCTGGAGGCGCTCCGCTTCCTCTCGTGCATTCACAAAGATGGAGTGCCAGAAATGCCTCTGTCTTCCAAATGTGAGGTATACTTAAGAAAAGATATATTTTGCCTTCTGTTTACATTACAGCTAATTACAGCTACGGCCCGAACACAACTTAAGGTGTAGCTGAAGTTTCCTGTTTAGGTTACAACTTCCAGCATTCGAACACAGTTTGTTAAATGGAACTGGCACGACTCCCCTCCAGAAACTTATTATATGTCAGAGATCAAATTAATAGTATATTAAAAAAAATTGTGACACAAAGGCAAAAACAAATAGACTTGAATTAATTTGGTTGTGAAGCGGAAAAGCAGCAATTCATCAAACCATAGGATCACTTACAGCGTGGTACCTTTATGAGACTTAAATTCATTTGCAATTTTTAATTTCTTAATTTAAGAATAAATCGGTTCAAGTTTGAGAGCTCAGTAGTTAAACAGTTTAACCCAACTCAGACAAGACTCACTTAAGAGCAACATAAGGTATTTAAGAAGTGGGACTCTCTCGAGTCTTGCAGACTCTGGTTCTTAATCAAAAGTTGGACTGACTGGATAACGCAGAGGGAGGGTGTGACAGTCGGCCAACTGGCACAAACGACCCAGTTTATTCTCTTTTTACTAAACAATGAAAACTGGAATGTCTGTCTCGGCCTGTTTGCTTTATAAGAAACGACATGTGCGACTGCAGCCTGAGTGGATCCTTGTGCTCGAAAGCCTCCATCAAAGGTCTTTCAAAAACTTCCAAAGGCTTTAATCAAAGTTATATGAACATGAGTTATCCCAGAAAAACCTTGCTGTATCAGAAACCAAAGCCCAGTGGTAGGACTGAGTCAGGGGAGAGACAGACTTCAACTGAGTCCATATTAAATAACTTTCTGGGGGTAGTTTAGGTGTGGTGTGACAAGATCCAGTTCTGATTTGCAAACGTTCAAACAAGAACAGCCCTTTTCAGGTTTTCTTATGTGTGGACGAATCTGACCTAGCTCTCACAGCCTTTTACGCTTTAGTGAAAAAGTCTCCTCTTCCAAACATGCCTGTAAGGAGTGGCATTAGTGGGTGTGTGTCTCTATTCAGCTCTGTCATCCGAGCCAAACAACTTAAGACTGCAGGAACAAGGGAGGTATTAAGATGTTGGTGCCTGATAATGAAAAAAAAAACACATCACAAAAAAACATGCCCTGAAGGCCGAGTTACCAGCCAAGTTCTCCACATGACTTTTGTGCCATTTCCCTCTGCGCGATCTGTGTCGTGAAGGTGGCTTTGGCTTTTTTTATAGTAATTCTGCAGTGTCATTATCACAGAGTCCCATTCAGCGTCAGATTAGATAGATTTTTGGAGTCTGTTCAAAAAGCCGGGGTCAGCCTAATTCACTGGGAGGGACGATGGGGAAAAGAGGATTAGAGATGCTGTCATTCCATGTAGTCTGCAGCTGCATCAGAGACAGATCCCATGCTGATGAACTTTGACTAACTCTCTTAATTTGGGTCCCCTGGGATGCTGCCGGGATTCAGAATAAGAGGAAAAACTGGACCCGGACCAAAGCCCTAACCCTGCTGTGTCAGAGAGGCTGCCCTTTCTCAACAACCTTGAGAAAGAGCAGAGATGTTAAAAAACAATTAAGCACTATATAGACCAAAGACGGGAGTTTTTATGATATGAAACCGAGCAGGAGCGGAAATAGAGTGATATTTTGAGTGGGCGATAATAGGTTTCTCAGAAATTCCGGCGCAGCGATACAAGTCAGAACAAGGAATGCAAAGCATTTAAAGGGGCAAAGAGCAGCGAGCGGGTCTCAGGATTTGACAGGGTGTCAGCTGCCAACAACCCCACCCAGCAGGCTCTGGCTCCATCACCCCCACATGCCCTCAGATAAAGTAACAGAGACACAGAGACAGTCCCGTACGCCTGCGGCCGACAAGAAAGTTGTTGCAGAAAAGTACAGAATCTATACGGGCTGATAGATGCCTTTTTATGCCTTTAACTGATTAAATATTTCTTTCAAAGGAAACAGGTTAAATGAATGCAGATTTGGCTGCTTGAAAGTTGGAGGACTGCCACACTGTGGCATCCTGCAAAGCATCTATCACCGAGCAGGACTCAAGATTTGCCTGTCCACTCACCCAGATTCCCTTCCCCCACCGCTGCTCACCTCCTGCCTCCACCAGGATTCCCACAACCACCACCAGAAACCCTCATCTGAGTGGGGAGTCATTACAAAGTCAGGCTGAAGCCCGGATCCACAGAACCGTGTCACCAGGTCATGCGCACGCAACCGGCCAGACCATGAAAACCCCACTGCCTTACAAAGAGACGCGATTTCCTTTATTTCCTGCGTTTTCTGCTTGCAGAAAAACGCTATGGGGAGATTTGGAAATCAAAATTAAAGCCACAGATCCGTGCATTCGCTTTCAATTTACCACAGGAAAGACGGGAGAGGAGCTGTGAAATGTAAGGTCACCCCGGAGAGCCGCAGCATCCCCGCTCCCCCTCTGGTGGGAATTGCAGGGGATTTCTACCTACTGCACGGCTTACGCTGCCTCTAATCCTCAAAAACACACACATGCAGGCTCGTCATCATCATCGGTCTCGGGAAAGAAAAGACGAGCCCGAGCTCCAACACGCGAGACCCCGGATACGTGGATCCTTTCTGGGTCCATCCCGCAGCACCCATGGGGGGAAAACACAGCTAAATTAAAGTCAGATTATTCCCCAAAGGCTGTGCACACACTGGGTGATCTTGTGACACCGCGTGTGCCGGTGACATGCTGATTGCGCATTGATTGGCCACTGCAGAAGAAAGCTAACGTTTAAAACACCGGGACAGGGTTGAAGGTGGGGGGGGTGGAAATCGGTTAAATGAATGTCCAGCTTACCTTTTTTAACCGGCTGTGGATCATTGTTTGGAAGACTTGAGCCACGACCAGGGCGATCCCCACGATCAGGAGGTGGGCGCAGACGATGCCGGTGGCGTAAATGGCACACGATCTCCGGGTCATGATGCCGGACGAAGACTAACACCACCCCAACAAAAAAAAAAAAAGATAACTTCACTGAAGTCGAAGGTAACTCGGAAACAAATCGTTTCACGCGAGAGAAAAAAAAAAGCAACGGGGCGTGGGGTTGCTTGCGAAACCTCGTATCCGCCGTCACCGGAGCAGCTGCCGGCGTTCAAACTTCACTCTTCACCGCCCGGAGGGTGAGGACCCGAAGAAATGTTGGCACTTCTTTAAAAAATAACAACAAACCCCGACGGTTTAACCTCAGAGCTGGAGAGAGGGAGGACCGAGCTGCTCCGAGGCGGTGGAGAAATGAAGCGGCAGCTGTCGGGACAGAGAAGAGTAGCCGTCCTCCTCCTCCTCTTCCTCTTCGCGTAATGAGCCCAGTCAGGCGAAAAGCGGCGTTTTTTGGAGGATGCGCTGGCGGTGGGTGTGTGCAAAGACACAGAAAAAAAAAGGTCTGTTTGTAATTTCCTTACATGGCTGAGGTCACCGTTTCAAAACACCTTTTCTAACAGAAAAAAAAAAAAAAAAAAAATCTACACATGCCACCAAAACCGAGCTGGCTATCAGAAATATTTCATACTCGGGGGAACACACTTTGACATTTTACGTGTAGCTCCTGGTGACACTTTAGTTACTCAAACGAGCTCATTTAGACTCGTTTTTCGAGCTCATTTAGACTCTTATTTTACGTACGTTATCTACGTTTTTAAATCGTTGCCACTTATAAGAATGCAAAGCAAACCACAGAGGTTGTCAGGATGGTTAATAAGTGATGGCCGCGTGCTCCACACACGCTAGTAAAGTCACAACTGGCGACGTTTAAATGCCCTAAACTTGAGTTTATTTTTTGTCGACTGAGGGGGATATTTCTCTAAAATGTCAGTTTTTCCTATCAACCAACCGACGCCGTGTTCATTGGCCTCACGGGGAAATGAGCAGGATGCTGTAAAGTAATTTTACCTGACGAACGGAAAACCGCTATCTGGCCGTGTCGTGTCTCTTTAAATGTCCACAGCGGGGACATGAATAATATTGTGTTTAAGCAGCCAACGATCGTTGACGTGAATCCTTTGTCTGACCGGCGGACCCTCTGATTGGCTGTCGGCCTCACGGACCACCGTTCTGAGACCCCTCCCCCTGAGCGCTGATTGGTCGGACGGTGGCGAGTGTGATGTTGAATTTCATCGACTGATTTCAGGGCGGGGCCCTCTTAAAGGGGGGGCCAGGGGCCGTGGATGTTTAGCCCACCGTAAAGAAGCAAGCAAGGTGTCTGGTGGTGATTCATGGTTTGTATTGTGGTCAACAAATATTAAGCTTTCATCAGGCATTAGGTACAATTAAATAAGTTAAGATTTAGTATTGGAAACAAAACGTTATCCTTTGTAAAACAAACCAAAAAAGCTGCTTGTTAGTTTTTATTTACTTGAGATAATCATGTGCAATGTGTGAAGGTGAAATACTCCCGTTTAAAACATTTGCCTTTAGTTAGTATACTTTGAGTGTAAAAACAGAAAATAACTGGAAAATTAACTCATAGCAAAACATTATATATGATGAATATGTAGTACTGAGTGCAAATATTCTTTTTATCTGAAAAATTAGGCATAACTTGAAAATGGCCTTTGCTTGTTAAACGAAAAAAATATTTCTCAAACTTTACACACACTTTGTTCCTCTCCAAAATGGAAGATTTTGTGGTGGATATGTTTATTATCTCAACACAAAGTTTAGTGCCTATACACCTTTATAGATACTTTTAATAAAATGCTGGAGCTACATTTATTAAAGGCTTTGAAAGCAGATTTTCTTTGACAGTAGCTGTTCAGAAACAATACCGTTTGCTTAGTTGGTACTTCCTGATCAGAATCTGTGTTAAATAGTTTTCTCCACTTAATTGGCAGGCTGGAGTGAGGCCCAAAGTACTCATTCCAACCAAATAATGGAAGGAAATACTGGAGCCTAGAAGAATCTTTTTTTTTTTTAAGTGCTAGACTATTCTCTAAGATTATAAATTCTAACAGGACTGACCAACACAGGCAATATATCATGCACACACATATAGAAGGTTGATACAAGATTCAATATGGGAAAATATCCAACTTCTAATATAGCTCTACTTACTTTAAATGTGCTTCTCTGGTTTTATTTGACAGTTTGTCTAGCTAAACATGGCTAAATGACAACATAGGCAGGCGGTTACTCTTCTACATACATGTTCTGGAGCCAGATCTTCTCATCTCTCTCTGCCATGATCATTAAAACCTTTGAGTGAATACAAAATCTTTTACAAAAGTCCATACAAGCAAACATTTTTCACAATCTGTTACTTTTCAGTAGAGGGTAAGGATGTATGGAACGAAATACAGAAGACTTTCACTGCTACGTTTAAAGAAATCCTTTTTTTTTCCTTCACAGTGCTCTGTGCCATGCAGTACTTGGCTCCTGGTTCAACGATCATTAATTTTAGTCTAAAGCAAATGTTCAGGAGGATTTCTAATCAGTGATATTTTTACTCACCATCACAAGAGAACGGTGAAGTGGGTGCGAAAAAAAAGTGCAAATTTTTTACTTTAATAGTTGCCAGAAGAAGACCTGGGACAGATTCATTAAGCTCAGTTCAGTACCTGCTTAAATGAGAATCATTTTTTTGTCATCACATTTTGCGACATGAACCTCATGAAAGTTCTGGTTTCATTTATTAAGGATGCGCTCCTGTTGTAAAGTTAGAAAAGGTTAAAGGTGACATTTCCCTAGGAATCTGAAGCACTCAAGTGGCATAAGGCTGAAACGAGACACTGGAATCTAAAGGCTGCTGCCCGCCTTGTTTACAGACAACACCAGCTGCCTATACCATGAGCCGACTTTAAACAGAATCCTCATGAACCAGATCCTGGTGCAGATACCTGGTGGGATGATTAGGCTGGCCGAATTGGTCACTGCTCCTAACAACCGTTTACAGACCCACCACACTCGTTCCAGTTAATCTGAATGGTCCTTGTGAGAGCTGGCCTATCTTATGAGTGATCTATTTCTCATTCCCCTCGACTTCACCGAGGTCTAATTGGTGTCCGTCCTGCTGTAAAAGCTTTATTGGCAGTGAGCGTAGAACTGGAAGGTGAACAGGGTCATGCGCAGTCTTACATAATCCATTCATGGATAAAGGTGGACAAAAGACATGTTTATCCGAGGAAGTGATATACATCATATTTGTTTGATGTGGCTCACTGGAAGGAACTGACTGGGCTGGACTCTCACCATTAATGCAATTGAGTGCTACCTCATTGTGCTGCGCCGTATGGCAGTCCCGGAGGATGGGGGCTGCAGGAGGGGGCAGCATCTGTTCAAACAAGAGGGGTAAAAAAATGCAAAAGAAAATCATCAGGGGGGAAGGATAACAGTCAAGTAATGCAGCAACATTGTTCCTGCCAAAAGAAAGGAGGGTGGGAGGGTAAAGAGGGGTAAAACAGTTCAACCTTTGTAATGGTCCCTTTTTATGTTTGGTCAGCGGAGCGAAAATAATATCTTTCTCTTTTTTTTTTTTTGTGGTGCCGAAGACACCAAACTTTCAGGGCCTACAGCAAACTATTCAACTGCCCGAGATCGACTCTTTTCCCTCATGAAAATATATTTATACGTGTATTAGTCACCTTTGTGGTGAGAGTTTAGCGAGAGCGGGTGCAAATCACTTTTAGGTAAACTATTTGAGGACTTTCATGTGAAAACGTGGCTCAAAGCTAAGCCTGTTTTTGCCGGGTCAAAAATGCAAATGCAAGAGACTTCACAGGAAAGTGACTGAATGTTTCATGCTTTCTGCACTGTCGACTTTTTCCACTGCGTCTGAGCTTGACTGCAGGTCGTATTTAGGAGCCACTTAAGGTCACAGGCTGGCAGTATTCATAAAAAGTTCAACTTCCGTGGAATGAATGAGGCGCTGAGCTGTATGTCACGCCTGATATTTGATGGGTGGATTCACTGTGAACTTTGTGTGGGTCAAACCTAAGAGTAATTGGACAGATAAAGGATATATCCCATCATGTGTGTGGTATGCAAACTCTTATTCATGCTTTTTTAAAGACTGTATCCTTGAGGTTTAATTGTGCTATAGTGTATGCTTTAGTAGGTGTACACGCTGTACAAATGGTACTGTCCACACCCATGCTCATAACCTGCCTGAGGTTATATTTTCAAGTATAAACAAAGAAACAAATGTAGAAATGTATGCCTGAACAGGCACAGTCAAAGAAGATTATAGTTCCCGTATTAATGTTGAAACAATGATACAAAGCTAATGTCTGAATAACATGCAGGTATCAGCAGGCAGATGATGGCGGTTTCCTTTTCTCCAATCAAAGCTTTCTGAGTTTCAGCTTTGAGTGGTTTAGCTTTATGCACATGCAGTAAATGGATAGCTGTTAAGATTGAGAATATTATGTAAAAAAAACTAACTTATCAGCTCTCAACCACTGACCAGCACACAAACATCAACACGGATAGTCGTGTTCTTATCTGGTTAGGCTGGCCTTGGAGTTAGACTTTTAAACAGTTAAATAATAGTAGCGGCATCCACAACAATGGCGGTTGTTACAACACTGACTGGCCCTCTTTCTTTGGAAAATCATAGGTAAATTTGCTCACTGGCACTAAACTGAGCTAAATTGATAGTAATGGAAATCTTTACATAAGCAGGCAGTATAACCTAAAATCTGACAAAAAAAAACAGCCCTAGTTTACTCCAAAATCCCCATGTACTGGTTTTTCTGTACTTGAACAAATATGTCTTGTGTTATATTGAACCAAACAGAATACAAGAATTGAACCATGTTTAATAAAAAAAAGCAGTCATATCAAAAGAAAGTCAAACCACACAGTTCAGAGCCAAATTAGATTTTTTTTTAAAGAGTAGCCTGGCACAGAACTCAAAAACTGGTGTTAAGGACAAAAGTTAGACAACTCAAACCCCAGAAGTTAGATGAATGCGAATAGTAAACATATTACTGAGGAGACTGGGCTCATTACAGCTCACTTTGTAGTGTTCAAACATTTAAGGAGAGCAATGCTGGGAGAGTGAAAAAGATCACCAATGTCATTGACCCTCATTCTCTAGAACCATGTGTGTTGTCTAAACCTTTACATATTTCCATCCCATAGTTTTCTGTACAATCTACACAACACCAGACACAGAAACCAAACAGTTCAGAATGAAAACCAGGCTTTTGAAACCATGTGTAACGGGGCTCAGCGCAGGCTACAGACGGCTTTTTCTGTACAAACAGTCCACAGCTGGATTTACAGCACAGGTCCTGATATTCACCTTTTTTCAGTTCCTTTTATTAGCTGAATAAATGATGGATACGTGTTCAGGGAAATGTGATGGACAGCGTGATCTGCACCAGCTTTCAAAAAATATACCTACAGCATTATGTCTTAAATGGCTAAAGAAAATGTCTCCC